CCAACTGATTCTTTAATAAAATTATATGTTGTGCAAAACACGACACCTTTATTAAAATCATCGACTTCAAATTAAACGTTTAACAGCATATATCACAAAGGAATGACATGAATTCACTTATCGTATATTATTTAGATGTTTAACTTAATGAACAACAGTTTCACACTCTATTGGGACCATAATTCTGAATTCATTTAAAATACCTCATACCTTTAAATTCTTTACTTACAGGTTATGGTTTGTCTCTATCAAGCGGTGCATTTTACTTCAATTTTTGTGAAGAGTGCGTGGTAAGTTTGTGAATTTTGCTGTTTCCCATAAATAAATAATAATTATTTTTCTCCGAATGCAGATAGCAATACGGGTAGCGTTTACGCGGCCTGTTGTAGAACCGAGGAGGCCTGGTCAATTCCACCATTCATTTGTGCTTCAAAAATTCGTCACAGCTCTGAATTCTCAAAATTTGAAACTGATCCAGACTTGGACATTCAAGCCACCAGAACAATTTTGACAGTCGAACCAGAGCACCACTCGTTTTATGCAGCATCGTGACTAACGAAGGTACGACTTTCTTTATTATTTTTATTATTATAGCTGAGATTATAGCACCACAGCCAAAGATGCTACGTAGGATGGGTTTTTAGGATAAGAAAGAAGCGTATTCAAAAATCAACAGAACTTTTGTAAAACGGTCTACACTGATTGACGACCAATAAATAAAAATAAAACAAACGACCTTGGCAACGTATGCCCTGGTGGTTTCTAGCAACACTGCCATTTCAATCAAGATATGCGTTTCTCGATTAGGATTTGGCAGTTCAGTTGGCTTAAAATCAACCAGTCCACTCATTTCTTATCCTAGTGCTACGAAAAGCTCTAATCTGGATTTAGGAATTTGTTTCAAAGGTGGGACGGAGGTCCTTCGTCCTACTTTTTCTGTACGTAAGAGCTTCGTTATTTACTTGCAGATTAATTCATTGCCTTTGTGCACCGTGTTTTAAACGAACGGTCCTCCTCTGAATTTTATTTTTGTTACTTGAAATGAACATTCAAATTTCTTGGATTGTCTAAAACTAATGTAAAGCGTCAGATTGGTATGAGAGCTGAACTAGATATAGAGGCAAACCATGTTTATAATTTTATCCTGCAAGCATGAGATCAAACAATGAACCGAACGTAGGTACCTCCTCAACAAGTCAGGGTCAATTAGAGGAACACTTAGATCAAAAAGTGACACACTTACCCATTTTGTGCTACTTGCATCGGTGGATCTGATCCTATTGAATCAAGTGATGACCAAATAGTAAACACAATACTAGTTGGCGCCAGCATCAGTGGTTTAAAAATGCTTCGCGCTAATGGCATAGTTCCCCTGCCGAAGAGCATTCCATAATGGTGTCTTGGTTAGCTTTAGTTAGGCAATACTATTTGAAGAATTCATTGGTCAACAGGATCTTTTGAAGCCTTAAACACTTAATTCAACAAAATTGAGCAACACCACTTAGTTGATACACTACAGTGAGCACTTTCATTCATACAAAAGATGGTATGGATTTTTTTAACTTGAAAATATTAACCTAAAATTACAATTTTAATTGACAACGAGAAAAAATTGCAGATCATTTCAAATGTGGGACTCATTAAATTCTCGTTTCGGCCCTAGCTATTCTACATAATACACTTTCAATCTACCAACTACCAATTTTCTCTGACCTGAAGTCGACTCTATCCTGGAGCACATATGTGAGAAGCCCCGTTAAAAGTACTGAACAAAGAATTCAGTACCCTTAAACTCCCACCACATTCCCTGCCAATCACATATGTGCTCCTGCCCTAGCTCCTAACTGATTGAAAACGCTTCTAAGGGTGGTATCACATTTCCCGGAGTTTCATTTCCTAAAATGGACCATTTACATGAAAGTAGGAAATCATGTGCATTCAAAATGGAAAATTTTATTTTTTATTCAAAATTTTGCTAATGGGAATATTGCCTTCTTTATTCAAATATCAAACTAAAGAATAACAAAAATAACAATAACAACGGAAAGAAAAAGAAAAACAAAAATAATCAAACAACGTAATGAACACTCAAAGAAGGAAATATTCCCATTTTAATCAAATTTTTAATAGCTTTGTTACGTTTTCGAAAACTAAAATATTAGTATGCTAATAAATAGGCCATTCTGAAATTAAAATCCGAGAAATTTTATACCACCCTTTTAACTAGCTACTATACATGAACGGTAAATTTGGAAGTACCTGACTAACAAGTTAAAAAGGAGCACATATGTGATAGGCCCCGTTAAATGTATTGAAAAGTCACCTCTCTATTTCTAATTTCGGTCCAAACCGATTTTCAATCAAATCAATTTATGATCAACCAGTTTCGATCGAAATTATCAAAAGGGATGACTTTTCATTACCTTTAAACTCCCACCACATTCCCTGCCAATCACATATGTGCTCCTGTCCTAGCTCCTATCAATCTACCTGATTCTTTTTCTATATATACCTATACTACATCAAAAACCCTAACACTGCTAAATACTCCGAAATGCGACGATCGAGCTCACGATAGTGGTCTTTCGAACTTCATAAACAAAACGATCTTCGATGAAAGCATTCTGCTACATCGATTGGTTTGCTTGGAAGCCATTCCCAATAGGTTTAGCCATCCAGGCACGGTCCCTAAACGAATTTTTTTCACCAAAAGGTCCCTATCCGGTGTTAATGGGTTCCGAGGAATTCTCGTAGAAAAGATGGTAGCTCGAAGTATTCGTTTGTACCCGGCTACAACATCTTTACTCGTCAGAAGACCTCGGAGAAGCTAATTAATTTTGATGAAATTCGTTGTACCACCAGCGAGCTCGATCCAAATAACAAAAATCAATACCAATCTGCTAGATGTAATTTGGAATTTCCAGCAAACCGAGGACCAGGGCCGAAACAAAAAATGTCAATCCTAAAGATTTCCAACCAAAAAGATTTTTTATCAAATTTGAATTTGGGCCACTAGCATTTTTCTGAAGCATCATAGTAGGCTGCTTCGGAACTGTCAAATTTTGATCTTCGGTTTGCATACCTTGATTTTCTCTCAAGGTACACCTCTCCCAAAACCCAGCATACATAAAGTTCAGCTGTGTTCGCTGTAATTTTGGGATAGTAGTTTGCGTAGAAACATCAGCAGTGGTCGGAACATACGTCACACGTTCCAAAATATCATGTTGTATCTTGGCGTATGTTTCAAATACTGCTAATGTCGTCTCGCATTCCTGTACCTTGGCAATACCTGCTACCAGAACCGAATCTACATCGGCTCTGTTATATCTAAATGCCTCACATAAAATTTGGGACTGACCTTCAAAAGCCACCCTATCTCCTAAATTCATATTTTTATCTAACTCTACACCTTCATAATTATTATCAAAATTCCCCTTACCAAAACCCGCCTTTGAGGCATCCGGAGTAGTTTCGTAACGGTATTCTTGAACTTCGCTCCCAATTCCCTCACCAATCAACTGTTTGCTAGTAGACGCTTTAAAAGGCCGTCGGATGTACTCACCGACCAGCGACCGTACATTATCGTATTCATCGGTCACCGGCAATCTTTTGAGAACCTCCCAACGATCCTGCGCTTTTGGCAGCTTCGGCTTTGAAGAAGCCGCCTTTATGCGCTGGTAAATGGCCGTAAGTGTGCCATCAGGGTCGGTTCTCATAAAGTTGGGCAAAGACACCGGTCTAACAATCCGACTGGACCGGGTCTTCCGAGCATCGCGACCGTTTTTCGCCTTGCTAGCAAACATGTTGAAAATCAATCCTACCTTGAAAAAATGGGAAGAGCGATCAAAAAGACGTCCGCTTGGAAACCACTTCAGAAGCCTCTTGTCGATTGTTAGCAGCAGCCTTCCTTATATAGGCTCTCGGCATGTGAAAATTTGGTTACGATGGTGTTGCTATGGTAGCGTCTGGAAGATGATGCGCAAGTGGGTGAAAATCATGAAAATCAAACTTTTTGATCAACGTAGGCGTGCATGTTTTCTTCTTCATTGAAGTGTCATTTTTTTTCACGACGGTCCTAGGTCAGATTCCTGTCGACTTATTTTATTTCCTTGTTATTGATGTTATTGCTATTGCTTAAGCTGATTGCTAACCATTTTTGTTTTATTTATAGGGAACGGATCAATCATCGGACCCAAGCTTGGACCCTGAAATTATTGAAGAGGAAAGAGTCCGACAGGCCAGTCTCTTTTGTGGTTCGACACTTGGGACGGAAGCAGAAGAGCCGCAGCGAGATCCAACAAGAGAGAACAAACTGTAATTATCAAGCCTAAGGGAAATCAACGTGCTGATGTGACAAATCAAGAATATTCTCTCGAAGATATATTCTGCTGCTTTTTCGGTCAAAAATGTTCGATGCATGGAGAACGGTAACGTTTCCGTACGGAAACAAGTGATCATGGATAAAAATCATTGGTCTGTCCGAAGATTTAAGTGCTGGTGAAATTGACCTCAAATTGAAAAAGCAAAACAATCTTCCGCTCTCCTCGGACATTTGAAACTTTGATCCTTTGATCAAGCTGCAACGCGTCTACCTGTAGAGTGGCTGAAGAAATCAATGTCTACCGCTACTTCAAATGTTCCATGTCTGGCCATACAGCATGTTCCTGAAACAACTCTACTTGCTGTCTCATATGTGCTGGTGATCATGAAGCAAAAGAATGTGAATCTACTTTCATAAAGTGTGTTAACTGTGAACTGGTGAACAAACTGCGTAACCTTGCAACTGATATATTCCTGGATCGAACTACATCGACTCTGGCACGCAACGATGTTGGTACTATGAAAGCCACCGATCCTCCCACCACAGTCCTGCCACTGTAGCCGTCGTTCAACAATCTTCCCGACCCTGTGTGTGGGATTGGATAAGTGGTCTTCCAACCAGAAACTGCAGGTGAGTACAAATATTTTCTGACGAGATCAACACTTAATTCGTTCTCCAGTTCCAGCGCTACGCCGATTGATCAACTATATTCTGTCAGCTTGACACTGGAACACAATGATGTTGGCACCATGGAAGCCCCTAATCTCTCTGCCACAGTCGGGCTATTCTACTTCCTGCTTTGTCAGGTAAGTTTAACAGTGGTATTATATAATATGTCTCGCCGAAGCCGGGAAGGATACTGCCCCTTATCTGAATGGTAACTACCTACTTCAGCCTGTTACTAAAGCAGCCCAAATGGAAATACCTGTTATCGAGGTGGGTACGCAAGGCCTGACTGACACCGTTGGTAGTCCGAATACTGCCATGCAGCTAAAACTAAATCTGCAGATTCGCCAATCCTCCGGGTGGTTTGATTCTGATGCAACCTTCGTTCACGTAGTTTAACTGGTTTTGCGCACGTCATCGATTTGTTTCTACGGGTGTCGGTTGGGTTTTGCTGACGTCTTTGCTGAGTGGTAGCCTCAAGCATGGGTTTGAATGGTCGGTCTTGGTGTAACGTATACATCCCTCCCGATTTTTCTACTTCCACGACTTGTGATGAAAGACATCGGATCTGCGTTGGCCACATCCGAGAAACTTGGACGTTCACCTACTGTTTGGTGATTATAATCAGTCTGGCCTATGCTGGACAAGTTTAGCAGATTAATTATGTTAACCGGACCTCGGACTTGATATTTGCTAATGCCGACAAAACACCTGAAGCTCTCATTGATGCTGATCCGTTTCATCCTTCAGTCTTTGTCAAACTTATCTGTCCGCCTCTTTGGACGATACAATGATGAAAGTGAGTTTGATTTTCACCGCGATGATTATGCTGGTCTGAATGAAGCTTTACGGACAACTCAGTACAGCTGTAGCTCTGTTCAACGGAATTTTTTGTCGCTTCTTTGCGAATATGTTCTTCGACCCAGACCGAAGCAGAAGCCATAACCATAACCATAAGATACGATATGGTTAGACGGGTATTCCTAAAAAGCTGTCACCTCGGAAAACTAATCCAGATCTTCTCTCTTTTCGTTTTCTATGTCTTATTACAAACCATACCGAGCATATGAATAACCGAGTGCTCTTTCCAGATGCTGAGATGCCTGACCTGTTATATGGAAGGATTATGCACGAGGAGCGATTCGAATCCCCCCAGTTTTGAAGACATTAAGAACTGATGTTCCATTGCCCTGGTCAGATGGCTGGTGGTGAAGGAAAACAATAAGTACATGGAAACCAGAAAAAACTGTAAGTATGCTCCGCTCTATTGTAGTATATATTTGTCCAAACTAGCTACTGAAAAGTGAATCAAATGCGCTTATACCTGAAATGCATGCAATGATATGGGCAAGTAGGAGACTCACGATTTAGCATGGAGGGTGTATGGGAGTCGTTCTACGGTTTTTTTTTTCGGGCATGTGGTTCATTTTCGATATTATAGTGTTAAGTGATCACCATGTCCCACTCACGTTCTGGAATGTGGCCTTAAGACCCCCTTCTGTCGCGCAAAATCAAAATCAAATTACCGGTCTAGGGATCTCCTTGACGGAAGCTCTGAGACATTATCCAGTAAAAGTCCTTTGGAATTCTTCTTGGATACTCCGAATAACATTAACACTCGCGTACTAGGAACAAATTTCAATAACGCAATTCGCGGTTGATCACAAACAGGAAGTTTTTAGGTTGAGAATCCTAAATAAACAGAGAGAGAGAGAGAGAGAGAGGTTACTTTTACCTTGAATCCTGATCAAGGAAAGGAGAAGGTCACAGAACTTTAGAGATTCATTCCGGAAGGCTTCAAACAACATTTAATGGAAGTTTCAAGACTGGTGGGTATGGGTGCTTTGTTTCGGATATCAGATTCAGATATGTGGAACAGATCATTTCGATAGCTAGTTTATTAATTTCCATAACGTATAAAACTTTTGATGACTTGAATATCTCGAATTTGCTGATGTGTAGGTCATGTGGATTTTCTTTCCTGGTTTATGTCCAGGCGTTAACTTATAAAAGGGTCAAGCCTTTTACAACCCCTTCCCCCGATAACAAGCATTATATTTTGTTTGATGTGTGCTACTCTGGCGCAAGTTGATTTCCAAAGTTGTCTTTAAACAACGGTATAACATTTTGATGTTGCAGAATTATGACAGATAAAGTGAATATAATTTGAGTTAACAGAATTTCAGGTTGCCTTTAACCTGTCAATGGGAAATCAATTTGATTGTTTCATAGTAACATACTTCAAACTCTTTTCCCGTTTACACAAGGTAAAGGGCTATATTTAAATTTGCCAAAATTATGGTACCATTTTCATAAATTTTATTATTCTGTGCCCTCTTTTCTTTCGCTGATGAATATTCCATATCGTCAGGTAATGATAGCCAATATGTTTCATTCACGTAGTCACCATTGCACATGTAACGACGGCAGTCACAAAATGGCAAATGAAATGAAAGTTGAAGACAAATTCGAAGTTCCACTGGGACGTAATAACTATGACTAATAAGACTCGGAAGTCGCGTACTGCTACAGCCGTCAATGATGTTGTCTAATGCCGCGTGTGAACGTTTGATTATTGGTGTGTAGATGAGATTCCATATATAATGTAAAATCTAAAACTTTGCCCATTTTGAATGAGAAATAAAATCTTAACTAGAGAAAATGGATGTAATGTCGGCCTAAAGGCCCCTAATTTAGGCCCATACATAAATTCAGCAATCGACTAAATTTTCAATAGCAACCAAAATTATCCATTAGTACCGTCCCAATGACGCGTTCAACTAGATAAAATGGATAAATAGCAGTCCCAATCTTATATCCATAGGCCAACATTAGAGCTATTTCTCCTATTATTAATTTTAAATGGAATGAAAATCTTATGAAAATATAATGAAATATGGCTTTCTTTTTATGTTTTCAGATCTATTTTAATACTCTCGCCCGCACGTCCCATTGCACTACAAATAAAATTCGCTTTCTAATCAGTCCCGACCAGGGTCCGGAAGGAACGCTATTACATTACATTGAACTTGCACCATGCTTCCGTCAAACCACTGTTGACACTGCATTTAGCATATGTGGATAAGGAACCAATAATGCCAGTCAAGTGGCTGGTAGGGGTAAAATGCCCACTTGTAGAAAAACAACGATAACATTTCCTCAGATGCTCAGATGTGGGTAACGGATTGTGCTTGTTTTCATCTGGAGGTTTCACAAATATTTCCAGATCATGAAATCCAACTGATTCTTTAATAAAATTATATGTTGTGCAAAACACGACACCTTTATTAAAATCATCGACTTCAAATTAAACGTTTAACAGCATATATCACAAAGGAATGACATGAATTCACTTATCGTATATTATTTAGATGTTTAACTTAATGAACAACAGTTTCACACTCTATTGGGACCATAATTCTGAATTCATTTAAAATACCTCATACCTTTAAATTCTTTACTTACAGGTTATGGTTTGTCTCTATCAAGCGGTGCATTTTACTTCAATTTTTGTGAAGAGTGCGTGGTAAGTTTGTGAATTTTGCTGTTTCCCATAAATAAATAATAATTATTTTTCTCCGAATGCAGATAGCAATACGGGTAGCGTTTACGCGGCCTGTTGTAGAACCGAGGAGGCCTGGTCAATTCCACCATTCATTTGTGCTTCAAAAATTCGTCACAGCTCTGAATTCTCAAAATTTGAAACTGATCCAGACTTGGACATTCAAGCCACCAGAACAATTTTGACAGTCGAACCAGAGCACCACTCGTTTTATGCAGCATCGTGACTAACGAAGGTACGACTTTCTTTATTATTTTTATTATTATAGCTGAGATTATAGCACCACAGCCAAAGATGCTACGTAGGATGGGTTTTTAGGATAAGAAAGAAGCGTATTCAAAAATCAACAGAACTTTTGTAAAACGGTCTACACTGATTGACGACCAATAAATAAAAATAAAACAAACGACCTTGGCAACGTATGCCCTGGTGGTTTCTAGCAACACTGCCATTTCAATCAAGATATGCGTTTCTCGATTAGGATTTGGCAGTTCAGTTGGCTTAAAATCAACCAGTCCACTCATTTCTTATCCTAGTGCTACGAAAAGCTCTAATCTGGATTTAGGAATTTGTTTCAAAGGTGGGACGGAGGTCCTTCGTCCTACTTTTTCTGTACGTAAGAGCTTCGTTATTTACTTGCAGATTAATTCATTGCCTTTGTGCACCGTGTTTTAAACGAACGGTCCTCCTCTGAATTTTATTTTTGTTACTTGAAATGAACATTCAAATTTCTTGGATTGTCTAAAACTAATGTAAAGCGTCAGATTGGTATGAGAGCTGAACTAGATATAGAGGCAAACCATGTTTATAATTTTATCCTGCAAGCATGAGATCAAACAATGAACCGAACGTAGGTACCTCCTCAACAAGTCAGGGTCAATTAGAGGAACACTTAGATCAAAAAGTGACACACTTACCCATTTTGTGCTACTTGCATCGGTGGATCTGATCCTATTGAATCAAGTGATGACCAAATAGTAAACACAATACTAGTTGGCGCCAGCATCAGTGGTTTAAAAATGCTTCGCGCTAATGGCATAGTTCCCCTGCCGAAGAGCATTCCATAATGGTGTCTTGGTTAGCTTTAGTTAGGCAATACTATTTGAAGAATTCATTGGTCAACAGGATCTTTTGAAGCCTTAAACACTTAATTCAACCAAATTGAGCAACACCACTTAGTTGATACACTACAGTGAGCACTTTCATTCATACAAAAGATGGTATGGATTTTTTTAACTTGAAAATATTAACCTAAAATTACAATTTTAATTGACAACGAGAAAAAATTGCAGATCATTTCAAATGTGGGACTCATTAAATTCTCGTTTCGGCCCTAGCTATTCTACATAATACACTTTCAATCTACCAACTACCAATTTTCTCTGACCTGAAGTCGACTCTATCCTGGAGCACATATGTGAGAAGCCCCGTTAAAAGTACTGAACAAAGAATTCAGTACCCTTAAACTCCCACCACATTCCCTGCCAATCACATATGTGCTCCTGCCCTAGCTCCTAACTGATTGAAAACGCTTCTAAGGGTGGTATCACATTTCCCGGAGTTTCATTTCCTAAAATGGACCATTTACATGAAAGTAGGAAATCATGTGCATTCAAAATGGAAAATTTTATTTTTTATTCAAAATTTTGCTAATGGGAATATTGCCTTCTTTATTCAAATATCAAACTAAAGAATAACAAAAATAACAATAACAACGGAAAGAAAAAGAAAAACAAAAATAATCAAACAACGTAATGAACACTCAAAGAAGGAAATATTCCCATTTTAATCAAATTTTTAATAGCTTTGTTACGTTTTCGAAAACTAAAATATTAGTATGCTAATAAATAGGCCATTCTGAAATTAAAATCCGAGAAATTTTATACCACCCTTTTAACTAGCTACTATACATGAACGGTAAATTTGGAAGTACCTGACTAACAAGTTAAAAAGGAGCACATATGTGATAGGCCCCGTTAAATGTATTGAAAAGTCACCTCTCTATTTCTAATTTCGGTCCAAACCGATTTTCAATCAAATCAATTTATGATCAACCAGTTTCGATCGAAATTATCAAAAGGGATGACTTTTCATTACCTTTAAACTCCCACCACATTCCCTGCCAATCACATATGTGCTCCTGTCCTAGCTCCTATCAATCTACCTGATTCTTTTTCTATATATACCTATACTACATCAAAAACCCTAACACTGCTAAATACTCCGAAATGCGACGATCGAGCTCACGATAGTGGTCTTTCGAACTTCATAAACAAAACGATCTTCGATGAAAGCATTCTGCTACATCGATTGGTTTGCTTGGAAGCCATTCCCAATAGGTTTAGCCATCCAGGCACGGTCCCTAAACGAATTTTTTTCACCAAAAGGTCCCTATCCGGTGTTAATGGGTTCCGAGGAATTCTCGTAGAAAAGATGGTAGCTCGAAGTATTCGTTTGTACCCGGCTACAACATCTTTACTCGTCAGAAGACCTCGGAGAAGCTAATTAATTTTGATGAAATTCGTTGTACCACCAGCGAGCTCGATCCAAATAACAAAAATCAATACCAATCTGCTAGATGTAATTTGGAATTTCCAGCAAACCGAGGACCAGGGCCGAAACAAAAAATGTCAATCCTAAAGATTTTTTATCAAATTTGAATTTGGGCCACTAGCATTTTTCTGAAGCATCATAGTAGGCTGCTTCGGAACTGTCAAATTTTGATCTTCGGTTTGCATACCTTGATTTTCTCTCAAGGTACACCTCTCCCAAAACCCAGCATACATAAAGTTCAGCTGTGTTCGCTGTAATTTTGGGATAGTAGTTTGCGTAGAAACATCAGCAGTGGTCGGAACATACGTCACACGTTCCAAAATATCATGTTGTATCTTGGCGTATGTTTCAAATACTGCTAATGTCGTCTCGCATTCCTGTACCTTGGCAATACCTGCTACCAGAACCGAATCTACATCGGCTCTGTTATATCTAAATGCCTCACATAAAATTTGGGACTGACCTTCAAAAGCCACCCTATCTCCTAAATTCATATTTTTATCTAACTCTACACCTTCATAATTATTATCAAAATTCCCCTTACCAAAACCCGCCTTTGAGGCATCCGGAGTAGTTTCGTAACGGTATTCTTGAACTTCGCTCCCAATTCCCTCACCAATCAACTGTTTGCTAGTAGACGCTTTAAAAGGCCGTCGGATGTACTCACCGACCAGCGACCGTACATTATCGTATTCATCGGTCACCGGCAATCTTTTGAGAACCTCCCAACGATCCTGCGCTTTTGGCAGCTTCGGCTTTGAAGAAGCCGCCTTTATGCGCTGGTAAATGGCCGTAAGTGTGCCATCAGGGTCGGTTCTCATAAAGTTGGGCAAAGACACCGGTCTAACAATCCGACTGGACCGGGTCTTCCGAGCATCGCGACCGTTTTTCGCCTTGCTAGCAAACATGTTGAAAATCAATCCTACCTTGAAAAAATGGGAAGAGCGATCAAAAAGACGTCCGCTTGGAAACCACTTCAGAAGCCTCTTGTCGATTGTTAGCAGCAGCCTTCCTTATATAGGCTCTCGGCATGTGAAAATTTGGTTACGATGGTGTTGCTATGGTAGCGTCTGGAAGATGATGCGCAAGTGGGTGAAAATCATGAAAATCAAACTTTTTGATCAACGTAGGCGTGCATGTTTTCTTCTTCATTGAAGTGTCATTTTTTTTCACGACGGTCCTAGGTCAGATTCCTGTCGACTTATTTTATTTCCTTGTTATTGATGTTATTGCTATTGCTTAAGCTGATTGCTAACCATTTTTGTTTTATTTATAGGGAACGGATCAATCATCGGACCCAAGCTTGGACCCTGAAATTATTGAAGAGGAAAGAGTCCGACAGGCCAGTCTCTTTTGTGGTTCGACACTTGGGACGGAAGCAGAAGAGCCGCAGCGAGATCCAACAAGAGAGAACAAACTGTAATTATCAAGCCTAAGGGAAATCAACGTGCTGATGTGACAAATCAAGAATATTCTCTCGAAGATATATTCTGCTGCTTTTTCGGTCAAAAATGTTCGATGCATGGAGAACGGTAACGTTTCCGTACGGAAACAAGTGATCATGGATAAAAATCATTGGTCTGTCCGAAGATTTAAGTGCTGGTGAAATTGACCTCAAATTGAAAAAGCAAAACAATCTTCCGCTCTCCTCGGACATTTGAAACTTTGATCCTTTGATCAAGCTGCAACGCGTCTACCTGTAGAGTGGCTGAAGAAATCAATGTCTACCGCTACTTCAAATGTTCCATGTCTGGCCATACAGCATGTTCCTGAAACAACTCTACTTGCTGTCTCATATGTGCTGGTGATCATGAAGCAAAAGAATGTGAATCTACTTTCATAAAGTGTGTTAACTGTGAACTGGTGAACAAACTGCGTAACCTTGCAACTGATATATTCCTGGATCGAACTACATCGACTCTGGCACGCAACGATGTTGGTACTATGAAAGCCACCGATCCTCCCACCACAGTCCTGCCACTGTAGCCGTCGTTCAACAATCTTCCCGACCCTGTGTGTGGGATTGGATAAGTGGTCTTCCAACCTGAAACTGCAGGTGAGTACAAATATTTTCTGACGAGATCAACACTTAATTCGTTCTCCAGTTCCAGCGCTACGCCGATTGATCAACTATATTCTGTCAGCTTGACACTGGAACACAATGATGTTGGCACCATGGAAGCCCCTAATCTCTCTGCCACAGTCGGGCTATTCTACTTCCTGCTTTGTCAGGTAAGTTTAACAGTGGTATTATATAATATGTCTCGCCGAAGCCGGGAAGGATACTGCCCCTTATCTGAATGGTAACTACCTACTTCAGCCTGTTACTAAAGCAGCCCAAATGGAAATACCTGTTATCGAGGTGGGTACGCAAGGCCTGACTGACACCGTTGGTAGTCCGAATACTGCCATGCAGCTAAAACTAAATCTGCAGATTCGCCAATCCTCCGGGTGGTTTGATTCTGATGCAACCTTCGTTCACGTAGTTTAACTGGTTTTGCGCACGTCATCGATTTGTTTCTACGGGTGTCGGTTGGGTTTTGCTGACGTCTTTGCTGAGTGGTAGCCTCAAGCATGGGTTTGAATGGTCGGTCTTGGTGTAACGTATACATCCCTCCCGATTTTTCTACTTCCACGACTTGTGATGAAAGACATCGGATCTGCGTTGGCCACATCCGAGAAACTTGGACGTTCACCTACTGTTTGGTGATTATAATCAGTCTGGCCTATGCTGGACAAGTTTAGCAGATTAATTATGTTAACCGGACCTCGGACTTGATATTTGCTAATGCCGACAAAACACCTGAAGCTCTCATTGATGCTGATCCGTTTCATCCTTCAGTCTTTGTCAAACTTATCTGTCCGCCTCTTTGGACGATACAATGATGAAAGTGAGTTTGATTTTCACCGCGATGATTATGCTGGTCTGAATGAAGCTTTACGGACAACTCAGTACAGCTGTAGCTCTGTTCAACGGAATTTTTTGTCGCTTCTTTGCGAATATGTTCTTCGACCCAGACCGAAGCAGAAGCCATAACCATAACCATAAGATACGATATGGTTAGACGGGTATTCCCAAAAAGCTGTCACCTCGGAAAACTAATCCAGATCTTCTCTCTTTTCGTTTTCTATGTCTTATTACAAACCATACCGAGCATATGAATAACCGAGTGCTCTTTCCAGATGCTGAGATGCCTGACCTGTTATATGGAAGGATTATGCACGAGGAGCGATTCGAATCCCCCCAGTTTTGAAGACATTAAGAACTGATGTTCCATTGCCCTGGTCAGATGGCTGGTGGTGAAGGAAAACAATAAGTACATGGAAACCAGAAAAAACTGTAAGTATGCTCCGCTCTATTGTAGTATATATTTGTCCAAACTAGCTACTGAAAAGTGAATCAAATGCGCTTATACCTGAAATGCATGCAATGATATGGGCAAGTAGGAGACTCACGATTTAGCATGGAGGGTGTATGGGAGTCGTTCTACGGTTTTTTTTTCGGGCATGTGGTTCATTTTCGATATTATAGTGTTAAGTGATCACCATGTCCCACTCACGTTCTGGAATGTGGCCTTAAGACCCCCTTCTGTCGCGCAAAATCAAAATCAAATTACCGGTCTAGGGATCTCCTTGACGAAAGCTCTGAGACATTATCCAGTAAAAGTCCTTTGGAATTCTTCTTGGATACTCCGAATAACATTAACACTCGCGTACTAGGAACAAATTTCAATAACGCAATTCGCGGTTGATCACAAACAGGAAGTTTTTAGGTTGAGAATCCTAAATAAACAGAGAGAGAGAGAGAGAGAGGTTACTTTTACCTTGAATCCTGATCAAGGAAAGGAGAAGGTCACAGAACTTTAGAGATTCATTCCGGAAGGCTTCAAACAACATTTAATGGAAGTTTCAAGACTGGTGGGTATGGGTGCTTTGTTTCGGATATCAGATTCAGATATGTGGAACAGATCATTTCGATAGCTAGTTTATTAATTTCCATAACGTATAAAACTTTTGATGACTTGAATATCTCGAATTTGCTGATGTGTAGGTCATGTGGATTTTCTTTCCTGGTTTATGTCCAGGCGTTAACTTATAAAAGGGTCAAGCCTTTTACAACCCCTTCCCCCGATAACAAGCATTATATTTTGTTTGATGTGTGCTACTCTGGCGCAAGTTGATTTCCAAAGTTGTCTTTAAACAACGGTATAACATTTTGATGTTGCAGAATTATGACAGATAAAGTGAATATAATTTGAGTTAACAGAATTTCAGGTTGCCTTTAACCTGTCAATGGGAAATCAATTTGATTGTTTCATAGTAACATACTTCAAACTCTTTTCCCGTTTACACAAGGTAAAGGGCTATATTTAAATTTGCCAAAATTATGGTACCATTTTCATAAATTTTATTATTCTGTGCCCTCTTTTCTTTCGCTGATGAATATTCCATATCGTCAGGTAATGATAGCCAATATGTTTCATTCACGTAGTCACCATTGCACATGTAACGACGGCAGTCACAAAATGGCAAATGAAATGAAAGTTGAAGACAAATTCGAAGTTCCACTGGGACGTAATAACTATGACTAATAAGACTCGGAAGTCGCGTACTGCTACAGCCGTCAATGATGTTGTCTAATGCCGCGTGTGAACGTTTGATTATTGGTGTGTAGATGAGATTCCATATAGGGGAATTTACGTATTCTCGTCAATCTAAGCAGCGTCCGCACTTCTATTAGCATTTTCACAGCGTCACGCACATATATGACGTGTCTGTTTGTTTCAATTCATCTGCTGCTTGCTTCTCTATCCATTCCAATCGACAGAATTATTCAAAACTGTTTGAAAGCGTTTTTACAACGCTCTAAATTTCTCAGGTGAGTGTGACTATTGTCGTCAGCCACTTTTTCTTCGGCAACCTTCCCATTAGAACTGCGTGTTAACCAGCTGTTCTATTATCGGCAACTAGAAATCAGCCCCATTTTGTAGTACGTATGCTTCATTTGAATAAAAATCTGGCATAACAGGATTGCTCGGTCCTACAAATATAATCAGATTGAAGCTGAAAGACTAAAGAATCGTTTGGATACATTCAGGGAAGTGGGTTGATGGTAAAACATAGTGAAATTAACGTTTAAATTTTGGTTGCCGAAAACAGTCAATGGGTGCCGAAGTCGACATTTACCCTATAATGTAAAATCTAAAACTTTGCCCATTTTGAATGAGAAATAAAATCTTAACTAGAGAAAATGGATGTAATGTCGGCCTAAAGGCCCCTAATTTGGGCCCATACATAAATTCAGCAATCGACTAAATTTTCAATAGCAACCAAAATTATCCATTAGTACCGTCCCAATGACGCGTTCAACTAGATAAAATGGATAAATAGCAGTCCCAATCTTATATCCATAGGCCAACATTAGAGCTATTTCTCCTATTATTAATTTTAAATGGAATGAAAATCTTATGAAAATATAATGAAATATGGCTTTCTTTTTATGTTTTCAGATCTATTTTAATACTCTCGCCCGCACGTCCCATTGCACTACAAATAAAATTCGCTTTCTAATCAGTCCCGACCAGGGTCCGGACACTGCATTTAGCATATGTGGATAAGGAACCAATAATGCCAGTCAAGTGGCTGGTAGGGGTAAAATGCCCACTTGTAGAAAAACAACGATAACATTTCCTCAGATGCTCAGATGTGGGTAACGGATTGTGCTTGTTTTCATCTGGAGGTTTCACAAATATTTCCAGATCATGAAATCCAACTGATTCTTTAATAAAATTATATGTTGTGCAAAACACGACACCTTTATTAAAATCATCGACTTCAAATTAAACGTTTAACAGCATATATCACAAAGGAATGACATGAATTCACTTATCGTATATTATTTAGATGTTTAACTTAATGAACAACAGTTTCACACTCTATTGGGACCATAATTCTGAATTCATTTAAAATACCTCATACCTTTAAATTCTTTACTTACAGGTTATGGTTTGTCTCTATCAAGCGGTGCATTTTACTTCAATTTTTGTGAAGAGTGCGTGGTAAGTTTGTGAATTTTGCTGTTTCCCATAAATAAATAATAATTATTTTTCTCCGAATGCAGATAGCAATACGGGTAGCGTTTACGCGGCCTGTTGTAGAACCGAGGAGGCCTGGTCAATTCCACCATTCATTTGTGCTTCAAAAATTCGTCACAGCTCTGAATTCTCAAAATTTGAAACTGATCCAGACTTGGACATTCAAGCCACCAGAACAATTTTGACAGTCGAACCAGAGCACCACTCGTTTTATGCAGCATCGTGACTAACGAAGGTACGACTTTCTTTATTATTTTTATTATTATAGCTGAGATTATAGCACCACAGCCAAAGATGCTACGTAGGATGGGTTTTTAGGATAAGAAAGAAGCGTATTCAAAAATCAACAGAACTTTTGTAAAACGGTCTACACTGATTGACGACCAATAAATAAAAATAAAACAAACGACCTTGGCAACGTATGCCCTGGTGGTTTCTAGCAACACTGCCATTTCAATCAAGATATGCGTTTCTCGATTAGGATTTGGCAGTTCAGTTGGCTTAAAATCAACCAGTCCACTCATTTCTTATCCTAGTGCTACGAAAAGCTCTAATCTGGATTTAGGAATTTGTTTCAAAGGTGGGACGGAGGTCCTTCGTCCTACTTTTTCTGTACGTAAGAGCTTCGTTATTTACTTGCAGATTAATTCATTGCCTTTGTGCACCGTGTTTTAAACGAACGGTCCTCCTCTGAATTTTATTTTTGTTACTTGAAATGAACATTCAAATTTCTTGGATTGTCTAAAACTAATGTAAAGCGTCAGATTGGTATGAGAGCTGAACTAGATATAGAGGCAAACCATGTTTATAATTTTATCCTGCAAGCATGAGATCAAACAATGAACCGAACGTAGGTACCTCCTCAACAAGTCAGGGTCAATTAGAGGAACACTTAGATCAAAAAGTGACACACTTACCCATTTTGTGCTACTTGCATCGGTGGATCTGATCCTATTGAATCAAGTGATGACCAAATAGTAAACACAATACTAGTTGGCGCCAGCATCAGTGGTTTAAAAATGCTTCGCGCTAATGGCATAGTTCCCCTGCCGAAGAGCATTCCATAATGGTGTCTTGGTTAGCTTTAGTTAGGCAATACTATTTGAAGAATTCATTGGTCAACAGGATCTTTTGAAGCCTTAAACACTTAATTCAACAAAATTGAGCAACACCACTTAGTTGATACACTACAGTGAGCACTTTCATTCATACAAAAGATGGTATGGATTTTTTTAACTTGAAAATATTAACCTAAAATTACAATTTTAATTGACAACGAGAAAAAATTGCAGATCATTTCAAATGTGGGACTCATTAAATTCTCGTTTCGGCCCTAGCTATTCTACATAATACACTTTCAATCTACCAACTACCAATTTTCTCTGACCTGAAGTCGACTCTATCCTGGAGCACATATGTGAGAAGCCCCGTTAAAAGTACTGAACAAAGAATTCAGTACCCTTAAACTCCCACCACATTCCCTGCCAATCACATATGTGCTCCTGCCCTAGCTCCTAACTGATTGAAAACGCTTCTAAGGGTGGTATCACATTTCCCGGAGTTTCATTTCCTAAAATGGACCATTTACATGAAAGTAGGAAATCATGTGCATTCAAAATGGAAAATTTTATTTTTTATTCAAAATTTTGCTAATGGGAATATTGCCTTCTTTATTCAAATATCAAACTAAAGAATAACAAAAATAACAATAACAACGGAAAGAAAAAGAAAAACAAAAATAATCAAACAACGTAATGAACACTCAAAGAAGGAAATATTCCCATTTTAATCAAATTTTTAATAGCTTTGTTACGTTTTCGAAAACTAAAATATTAGTATGCTAATAAATAGGCCATTCTGAAATTAAAATCCGAGAAATTTTATACCACCCTTTTAACTAGCTACTATACATGAACGGTAAATTTGGAAGTACCTGACTAACAAGTTAAAAAGGAGCACATATGTGATAGGCCCCGTTAAATGTATTGAAAAGTCACCTCTCTATTTCTAATTTCGGTCCAAACCGATTTTCAATCAAATCAATTTATGATCAACCAGTTTCGATCGAAATTATCAAAAGGGATGACTTTTCATTACCTTTAAACTCCCACCACATTCCCTGCCAATCACATATGTGCTCCTGTCCTAGCTCCTATCAATCTACCTGATTCTTTTTCTATATATACCTATACTACATCAAAAACCCTAACACTGCTAAATACTCCGAAATGCGACGATCGAGCTCACGATAGTGGTCTTTCGAACTTCATAAACAAAACGATCTTCGATGAAAGCATTCTGCTACATCGATTGGTTTGCTTGGAAGCCATTCCCAATAGGTTTAGCCATCCAGGCACGGTCCCTAAACGAATTTTTTTCACCAAAAGGTCCCTATCCGGTGTTAATGGGTTCCGAGGAATTCTCGTAGAAAAGATGGTAGCTCGAAGTATTCGTTTGTACCCGGCTACAACATCTTTACTCGTCAGAAGACCTCGGAGAAGCTAATTAATTTTGATGAAATTCGTTGTACCACCAGCGAGCTCGATCCAAATAACAAAAATCAATACCAATCTGCTAGATGTAATTTGGAATTTCCAGCAAACCGAGGACCAGGGCCGAAACAAAAAATGTCAATCCTAAAGATTTTTTATCAAATTTGAATTTGGGCCACTAGCATTTTTCTGAAGCATCATAGTAGGCTGCTTCGGAACTGTCAAATTTTGATCTTCGGTTTGCATACCTTGATTTTCTCTCAAGGTACACCTCTCCCAAAACCCAGCATACATAAAGTTCAGCTGTGTTCGCTGTAATTTTGGGATAGTAGTTTGCGTAGAAACATCAGCAGTGGTCGGAACATACGTCACACGTTCCAAAATATCATGTTGTATCTTGGCGTATGTTTCAAATACTGCTAATGTCGTCTCGCATTCCTGTACCTTGGCAATACCTGCTACCAGAACCGAATCTACATCGGCTCTGTTATATCTAAATGCCTCACATAAAATTTGGGACTGACCTTCAAAAGCCACCCTATCTCCTAAATTCATATTTTTATCTAACTCTACACCTTCATAATTATTATCAAAATTCCCCTTACCAAAACCCGCCTTTGAGGCATCCGGAGTAGTTTCGTAACGGTATTCTTGAACTTCGCTCCCAATTCCCTCACCAATCAACTGTTTGCTAGTAGACGCTTTAAAAGGCCGTCGGATGTACTCACCGACCAGCGACCGTACATTATCGTATTCATCGGTCACCGGCAATCTTTTGAGAACCTCCCAACGATCCTGCGCTTTTGGCAGCTTCGGCTTTGAAGAAGCCGCCTTTATGCGCTGGTAAATGGCCGTAAGTGTGCCATCAGGGTCGGTTCTCATAAAGTTGGGCAAAGACACCGGTCTAACAATCCGACTGGACCGGGTCTTCCGAGCATCGCGACCGTTTTTCGCCTTGCTAGCAAACATGTTGAAAATCAATCCTACCTTGAAAAAATGGGAAGAGCGATCAAAAAGACGTCCGCTTGGAAACCACTTCAGAAGCCTCTTGTCGATTGTTAGCAGCAGCCTTCCTTATATAGGCTCTCGGCATGTGAAAATTTGGTTACGATGGTGTTGCTATGGTAGCGTCTGGAAGATGATGCGCAAGTGGGTGAAAATCATGAAAATCAAACTTTTTGATCAACGTAGGCGTGCATGTTTTCTTCTTCATTGAAGTGTCATTTTTTTTCACGACGGTCCTAGGTCAGATTCCTGTCGACTTATTTTATTTCCTTGTTATTGATGTTATTGCTATTGCTTAAGCTGATTGCTAACCATTTTTGTTTTATTTATAGGGAACGGATCAATCATCGGACCCAAGCTTGGACCCTGAAATTATTGAAGAGGAAAGAGTCCGACAGGCCAGTCTCTTTTGTGGTTCGACACTTGGGACGGAAGCAGAAGAGCCGCAGCGAGATCCAACAAGAGAGAACAAACTGTAATTATCAAGCCTAAGGGAAATCAACGTGCTGATGTGACAAATCAAGAATATTCTCTCGAAGATATATTCTGCTGCTTTTTCGGTCAAAAATGTTCGATGCATGGAGAACGGTAACGTTTCCGTACGGAAACAAGTGATCATGGATAAAAATCATTGGTCTGTCCGAAGATTTAAGTGCTGGTGAAATTGACCTCAAATTGAAAAAGCAAAACAATCTTCCGCTCTCCTCGGACATTTGAAACTTTGATCCTTTGATCAAGCTGCAACGCGTCTACCTGTAGAGTGGCTGAAGAAATCAATGTCTACCGCTACTTCAAATGTTCCATGTCTGGCCATACAGCATGTTCCTGAAACAACTCTACTTGCTGTCTCATATGTGCTGGTGATCATGAAGCAAAAGAATGTGAATCTACTTTCATAAAGTGTGTTAACTGTGAACTGGTGAACAAACTGCGTAACCTTGCAACTGATATATTCCTGGATCGAACTACATCGACTCTGGCACGCAACGATGTTGGTACTATGAAAGCCACCGATCCTCCCACCACAGTCCTGCCACTGTAGCCGTCGTTCAACAATCTTCCCGACCCTGTGTGTGGGATTGGATAAGTGGTCTTCCAACCTGAAACTGCAGGTGAGTACAAATATTTTCTGACGAGATCAACACTTAATTCGTTCTCCAGTTCCAGCGCTACGCCGATTGATCAACTATATTCTGTCAGCTTGACACTGGAACACAATGATGTTGGCACCATGGAAGCCCCTAATCTCTCTGCCACAGTCGGGCTATTCTACTTCCTGCTTTGTCAGGTAAGTTTAACAGTGGTATTATATAATATGTCTCGCCGAAGCCGGGAAGGATACTGCCCCTTATCTGAATGGTAACTACCTACTTCAGCCTGTTACTAAAGCAGCCCAAATGGAAATACCTGTTATCGAGGTGGGTACGCAAGGCCTGACTGACACCGTTGGTAGTCCGAATACTGCCATGCAGCTAAAACTAAATCTGCAGATTCGCCAATCCTCCGGGTGGTTTGATTCTGATGCAACCTTCGTTCACGTAGTTTAACTGGTTTTGCGCACGTCATCGATTTGTTTCTACGGGTGTCGGTTGGGTTTTGCTGACGTCTTTGCTGAGTGGTAGCCTCAAGCATGGGTTTGAATGGTCGGTCTTGGTGTAACGTATACATCCCTCCCGATTTTTCTACTTCCACGACTTGTGATGAAAGACATCGGATCTGCGTTGGCCACATCCGAGAAACTTGGACGTTCACCTACTGTTTGGTGATTATAATCAGTCTGGCCTATGCTGGACAAGTTTAGCAGATTAATTATGTTAACCGGACCTCGGACTTGATATTTGCTAATGCCGACAAAACACCTGAAGCTCTCATTGATGCTGATCCGTTTCATCCTTCAGTCTTTGTCAAACTTATCTGTCCGCCTCTTTGGACGATACAATGATGAAAGTAAGTTTGATTTTCACCGCGATGATTATGCTGGTCTGAATGAAGCTTTACGGACAACTCAGTACAGCTGTAGCTCTGTTCAACGGAATTTTTTGTCGCTTCTTTGCGAATATGTTCTTCGACCCAGACCGAAGCAGAAGCCATAACCATAACCATAAGATACGATATGGTTAGACGGGTATTCCTAAAAAGCTGTCACCTCGGAAAACTAATCCAGATCTTCTCTCTTTTCGTTTTCTATGTCTTATTACAAACCATACCGAGCATATGAATAACCGAGTGCTCTTTCCAGATGCTGAGATGCCTGACCTGTTATATGGAAGGATTATGCACGAGGAGCGATTCGAATCCCCCCAGTTTTGAAGACATTAAGAACTGATGTTCCATTGCCCTGGTCAGATGGCTGGTGGTGAAGGAAAACAATAAGTACATGGAAACCAGAAAAAACTGTAAGTATGCTCCGCTCTATTGTAGTATATATTTGTCCAAACTAGCTACTGAAAAGTGAATCAAATGCGCTTATACCTGAAATGCATGCAATGATATGGGCAAGTAGGAGACTCACGATTTAGCATGGAGGGTGTATGGGAGTCGTTCTACGGTTTTTTTTTCGGGCATGTGGTTCATTTTCGATATTATAGTGTTAAGTGATCACCATGTCCCACTCACGTTCTGGAATGTGGCCTTAAGACCCCCTTCTGTCGCGCAAAATCAAAATCAAATTACCGGTCTAGGGATCTCCTTGACGGAATCTCTGAGACATTATCCAGTAAAAGTCCTTTGGAATTCTTCTTGGATACTCCGAATAACATTAACACTCGCGTACTAGGAACAAATTTCAATAACGCAATTCGCGTTTGATCACAAACAGGAAGTTTTTAGGTTGAGAATCCTAAATAAACAGAGAGAGAGAGAGAGAGAGAGAGAGAGAGAGGTTACTTTTACCTTGAATCCTGATCAAGGAAAGGAGAAGGTCTCAGAACTTTAGAGATTCATTCCGGAAGGCTTCAAACAACATTTAATGGAAGTTTCAAGACTGGTGGGTATGGGTGCTTTGTTTCGGATATCAGATTCAGATATGTGGAACAGATCATTTCGATAGCTAGTTTATTAATTTCCATAACGTATAAAACTTTTGATGACTTGAATATCTCGAATTTGCTGATGTGTAGGTCATGTGGATTTTCTTTCCTGGTTTATGTCCAGGCGTTAACTTATAAAAGGGTCAAGCCTTTTACAACCCCTTCCCCCGATAACAAGCATTATATTTTGTTTGATGTGTGCTACTCTGGCGCAAGTTGATTTCCAAAGTTGTCTTTAAACAACGGTATAACATTTTGATGTTGCAGAATTATGACAGATAAAGTGAATATAATTTGAGTTAACAGAATTTCAGGTTGCCTTTAACCTGTCAATGGGAAATCAATTTGATTGTTTCATAGTAACATACTTCAAACTCTTTTCCCGTTTACACAAGGTAAAGGGCTATATTTAAATTTGCCAAAATTATGGTACCATTTTCATAAATTTTATTATTCTGTGCCCTCTTTTCTTTCGCTGATGAATATTCCATATCGTCAGGTAATGATAGCCAATATGTTTCATTCACGTAGTCACCATTGCACATGTAACGACGGCAGTCACAAAATGGCAAATGAAATGAAAGTTGAAGACAAATTCGAAGTTCCACTGGGACGTAATAACTATGACTAATAAGACTCGGAAGTCGCGTACTGCTACAGCCGTCAATGATGTTGTCTAATGCCGCGTGTGAACGTTTGATTATTGGTGTGTAGATGAGATTCCATATATAATGTAAAATCTAAAATTTTGCCCATTTTGAATGAGAAATAAAATCTTAACTAGAGAAAATGGATGTAATGTCGGCCTAAAGGCCCCTAATTTGGGCCCATACATAAATTCAGCAATCGACTAAATTTTCAATAGCAACCAAAATTATCCATTAGTACCGTCCCAATGACGCGTTCAACTAGATAAAATGGATAAATAGCAGTCCCAATCTTATATCCATAGGCCAACATTAGAGCTATTTCTCCTATTATTAATTTTAAATGGAATGAAAATCTTATGAAAATATAATGAAATATGGCTTTCTTTTTATGTTTTCAGATCTATTTTAATACTCTCGCCCGCACGTCCCATTGCACTACAAATAAAATTCGCTTTCTAATCAGTCCCGACCAGGGTCCGGAAGGAACGCTATTACATTACATTGAACTTGCACCATGCTTCCGTCAAACCACTGTTGACACTGCATTTAGCATATGTGGGTAAGGAACCAATAATGCCAGTCAAGTGGCTGGTAGGGGTAAAATGCCCACTTGTAGAAAAACAACGATAACATTTCCTCAGATGCTCAGATGTGGGTAACGGATTGTGCTTGTTTTCATCTGGAGGTTTCACAAATATTTCCAGATCATGAAATCCAACTGATTCTTTAATAAAATTATATGTTGTGCAAAACACGACACCTTTATTAAAATCATCGACTTCAAATTAAACGTTTAACAGCATATATCACAAAGGAATGACATGAATTCACTTATCGTATATTATTTAGATGTTTAACTTAATGAACAACAGTTTCACACTCTATTGGGACCATAATTCTGAATTCATTTAAAATACCTCATACCTTTAAATTCTTTACTTACAGGTTATGGTTTGTCTCTATCAAGCGGTGCATTTTACTTCAATTTTGTGAAGAGTGCGTGGTAAGTTTGTGATTTTTGCTGTTTCCCATAAACAAATAATAATTATTTTTCTCCGAATGCAGATAGCAATACGGGTAGCGTTTACGCGGCCTGTTGTAGAACCGAGGAGGCCTGGTCAATTCCACCATTCATTTGTGCTTCAAAAATTCGTCACAGCTCTGAATTCTCAAAATTTGAAACTGATCCAGACTTGGACATTCAAGCCACCAGAACAATTTTGACAGTCGAACCAGAGCACCACTCGTTTTATACAGCATCGTGACTAACGAAGGTACGACTTTCTTTATTATTTTTATTATTATAGCTGAGATTATAGCACCACAGCCAAAGGTGCTACGTAGGATGGGTTTTTAGGATAAGAAAGAAGCGTATTCAAAAATCAACAGAACTTTTGTAAAACGGTCTACACTGATTGACGACCAATAAATAAAAATAAAACAAACGACCTTGGCAACGTATGCCCTGGTGGTTTCTAGCAACACTGCCATTTCAATCAAGATATGCGTTTCTCGATTAGGATTTGGCAGTTCAGTTGGCTTAAAATCAACCAGTCCACTCATTTCTTATCCTAGTGCTACGAAAAGCTCTAATCTGGATTTAGGAATTTGTCTCAAAGGTGGGACGGAGGTCCTTCGTCCTACCTACTTTTTCTGTACGTAAGAGCTTCGTTATTTACTTGCAGATTAATTCATTGCCTTTGTGCACCGTGTTTTAAACGAACGGTCCTCCTCTGAATTTTATTTTTGTTACTTGGATTGTCTAAAACTAATGTAAAGCGTCAGATTGGTATGAGAGCTGAACTAGATATAGAGGCAAACCATGTTTATAATTTTATCCTGCAAGCATGAGATCAAACAATGAACCGAACGTAGGTACCTCCTCAACAAGTCAGGGTCAATTAGAGGAACACTTAGATCAAAAAGTGACACACTTACCCATTTTGTGCTACTTGCATCGGTGGATCTGATCCTATTGAATCAAGTGATGACCAAATAGTAAACACAATACTAGTTGGCGCCAGCATCAGTGGTTTAAAAATGCTTCGCGCTAATGGCATAGTTCCCCTGCCGAAGAGCATTCCATAATGGTGTCTTGGTTAGCTTTAGTTAGGCAATACTATTTGAAGAATTCATTGGTCAACAGGATCTTTTGAAGCCTTAAACACTTAATTCAACCAAATTGAGCAACACCACTTAGTTGATACACTACAGTGAGCACTTTCATTCATACAAAAGATGGTATGGATTTTTTTAACTTGAAAATATTAACCTAAAATTACAATTTTAATTGACAACGAGAAAAAATTGCAGATCATTTCAAATGTGGGACTCATTAAATTCTCGTTTCGGCCCTAGCTATTCTACATAATACACTTTCAATCTACCAACTACCAATTTTCTCTGACCTGAAGTCGACTCTATCCTGGAGCACATATGTGAGAAGCCCCGTTAAAAGTACTGAACAAAGAATTCAGTACCCTTAAACTCCCACCACATTCCCTGCCAATCACATATGTGCTCCTGCCCTAGCTCCTAACTGATTGAAAACGCTTCTAAGGGTGGTATCACATTTCCCGGAGTTTCATTTCCTAAAATGGACCATTTACATGAAAGTAGGAAATCATGTGCATTCAAAATGGAAAATTTTATTTTTTATTCAAAATTTTGCTAATGGGAATATTGCCTTCTTTATTCAAATATCAAACTAAAGAATAACAAAAATAACAATAACAACGGAAAGAAAAAGAAAAACAAAAATAATCAAACAACGTAATGAACACTCAAAGAAGGAAATATTCCCATTTTAATCAAATTTTTAATAGCTTTGTTACGTTTTCGAAAACTAAAATATTAGTATGCTAATAAATAGGCCATTCTGAAATTAAAATCCGAGAAATTTTATACCACCCTTTTAACTAGCTACTATACATGAACGGTAAATTTGGAAGTACCTGACTAACAAGTTAAAAAGGAGCACATATGTGATAGGCCCCGTTAAATGTATTGAAAAGTCACCTCTCTATTTCTAATTTCGGTCCAAACCGATTTTCAATCAAATCAATTTATGATCAACCAGTTTCGATCGAAATTATCAAAAGGGATGACTTTTCATTACCTTTAAACTCCCACCACATTCCCTGCCAATCACATATGTGCTCCTGTCCTAGCTCCTATCAATCTACCTGATTCTTTTTCTATATATACCTATACTACATCAAAAACCCTAACACTGCTAAATACTCCGGAATGCGACGATCGAGCTCACGATAGTGGTCTTTCGAACTTCATAAACAAAACGATCTTCGATGAAAGCATTCTGCTACATCGATTGGTTTGCTTGGAAGCCATTCCCAATAGGTTTAGCCATCCAGGCACGGTCCCTAAACGAATTTTTTTCACCAAAAGGTCCCTATCCGGTGTTAATGGGTTCCGAGGAATTCTCGTAGAAAAGATGGTAGCTCGAAGTATTCGTTTGTACCCGGCTACAACATCTTTACTCGTCAGAAGACCTCGGAGAAGCTAATTAATTTTGATGAAATTCGTTGTACCACCAGCGAGCTCGATCCAAATAACAAAAATCAATACCAATCTGCTAGATGTAATTTGGAATTTCCAGCAAACCGAGGACCAGGGCCGAAACAAAAAATGTCAATCCTAAAGATTTTTTATCAAATTTGAATTTGGGCCACTAGCATTTTTCTGAAGCATCATAGTAGGCTGCTTCGGAACTGTCAAATTTTGATCTTCGGTTTGCATACCTTGATTTTCTCTCAAGGTACACCTCTCCCAAAACCCAGCATACATAAAGTTCAGCTGTGTTCGCTGTAATTTTGGGATAGTAGTTTGCGTAGAAACATCAGCAGTGGTCGGAACATACGTCACACGTTCCAAAATATCATGTTGTATCTTGGCGTATGTTTCAAATACTGCTAATGTCGTCTCGCATTCCTGTACCTTGGCAATACCTGCTACCAGAACCGAATCTACATCGGCTCTGTTATATCTAAATGCCTCACATAAAATTTGGGACTGACCTTCAAAAGCCACCCTATCTCCTAAATTCATATTTTTATCTAACTCTACACCTTCATAATTATTATCAAAATTCCCCTTACCAAAACCCGCCTTTGAGACATCCGGAGTAGTTTCGTAACGGTATTCTTGAACTTCGCTCCCAATTCCCTCACCAATCAACTGTTTGCTAGTAGACGCTTTAAAAGGCCGTCGGATGTACTCACCGACCAGCGACCGTACATTATCGTATTCATCGGTCACCGGCAATCTTTTGAGAACCTCCCAACGATCCTGCGCTTTTGGCAGCTTCGGCTTTGAAGAAGCCGCCTTTATGCGCTGGTAAATGGCCGTAAGTGTGCCATCAGGGTCGGTTCTCATAAAGTTGGGCAAAGACACCGGTCTAACAATCCGACTGGACCGGGTCTTCCGAGCATCGCGACCGTTTTTCGCCTTGCTAGCAAACATGTTGAAAATCAATCCTACCTTGAAAAAATGGGAAGAGCGATCAAAAAGACGTCCGCTTGGAAACCACTTCAGAAGCCTCTTGTCGATTGTTAGCAGCAGCCTTCCTTATATAGGCTCTCGGCATGTGAAAATTTGGTTACGATGGTGTTGCTATGGTAGCGTCTGGAAGATGATGCGCAAGTGGGTGAAAATCATGAAAATCAAACTTTTTGATCAACGTAGGCGTGCATGTTTTCTTCTTCATTGAAGTGTCATTTTTTTTCACTACTCAATAAAAACCGATTTTTTTTAGCGGATAGTGATAGGATGGTTGAGGTTTTTATTGTTCGACAGAGTCAGCTGATTTGTTGGCCAGAAGTGTGCGAGTGAATTTGGATTTCCTAGTGCTTAAAATGTAATGATGGATTCCTTGTCATTTTGGATGTTGATGCGCTTCGGCAGCTGGGCACAGGTTAGATTTCTATCGACTTTGTTTAGTTCCTTGATGAGGCTCCACCATGGGTCTGCCTCTGCTGCGATGTTCGGCCGGGTTCCAAGCCAGCGCTTGCTTGCAAATGTGGTTTCCGCCCCATCCTAGTGTGGTGCCGACCCACTTTCAGGAATTTCTGATGATATCGACGGTGGTGCTCATCTTTCGTAGTCCAGTTGAGAGGCCACCAGACACAATTTATACACCACAGGAATTGGTTGATGAAGACGTGCAGCTTTCGAGTGTTCTCCGCAGATATAAACCACGTTTCGCTGCCATATAACAACACAGATTTCACGTTTGAATAAAAAGTTCTCGCCGAAAAATGTCAATGAGATTCCGCATGTAAATCAGAATGATTAACATTTTACATTGTTGTTCTTCTTGTTTCAGAATGCCACCAACAACATCACCGGGGCGACCCCGGCGTAGTGGTTAGCATCCATACCTCTCACGCCAAAGTCACGAGTTCAAATCTCACCCCCGGACAAGTCACGAATGACCCAGGAGCGTTAAAGTGACTATAATTAAAAAAAAAAAAAAAAAAAAAATCATCAAACCCAATCCAACGGTGAAAATCGAAATCGGTGCTTGGAAGATTATCGCCAAAAGATTGATCGAACGGAATCTGGAATTGGAGGGAAGATCTTCTGCTGGGATGTGCACCACAAGAATCGAATGAAGGAAGTACGAAGTATTTTACACGGAAAAGAATCTGTCCGACTAGCTGGAAAGGGATAGTCAATTCTAAGTCAAGCGCAAATCTGTTCCAGGTACGAGTGTGAGGACGATGTCAAGTTCTTCGAGAACCGAATCTCCCAAGGTCATATGGCTGGCAGTTCAGTGGGATGTGCGTGTTTCTTCGACAACATCAATCACATTGAGGCTGGAAGTCA